CAATACAATCTTATGAGACTACCCTTACATATATTCCAGGTCAGCAAACCAAACATCACACGTATCACTGATCCAATATTCTTTATTATTTATTTATTGATCTCTCACAACATTTCAAATAGCATCTTGTCAAAATTCTTCAAATATCCCTTTAAACAGGTACTTTAAACAATCAGCTTCAACTTTCTTGAGGCTGGCGTGAGACAATGGGTCAAGGTGTCACTGGTCTGACACCAGCATCCCACATCAGACACATCAGAGCGCTGGTTTGAGTGCAGACTGCTTGACTTCCAAGCAGCCTGCTAATGTAACTGGGAAGGCAGCAGAGGGGATGGCCCAATTACTTGCACACTGCCTTACACGTGGGAGACCAGCTCCCAGCTTTCGCTTCAACTGGGACCAGCCCTGGCTGTTAATGAGCTTTTTAGGGAGTGAACCAGCAGATACAGGTTCGCCCTGTGTCTCCAGCTCTGTAACTTTCACCTTTAGAGTAAATGAACCTTTAAAAAATATCCTAAGGCTTGGCCCGCAGAGCCAACATCCCATATGAGTATCAATTCAAGTCCTGGCTGCTACACTTCTAATCCAGATTCCTGCTTATGGCGTGGGCAAGTAGCAAAGGATGACCCTAAAAGAGACCCCAAGAAGCTCCTGGCTCCCAGCTATGGCCACAACAGCCTCTTGGGGAGTGACTTTTCTGTCTCTTAAATTATCTCTCCCTTCTGTATCAAAGAGACTTCTCTTACTTACATATTTTTAATCTTTATTTGTTTAATTTCTGTTTAAAGGGTATTTTTTTAGAGACGGTCTTCCATCTGCTGATTCATTCCCCAAATGGCCACAACGGCCAACGCTAAGCAGATTTGAAGTTGGGCCATCCTCTGTTGCTTCTCTACACCTTAAGCAGAGAGCTGGATGGGAAGCAGAGTAGCTGGGACCCAAACCAGCACCCATACGGGATGACACTGCTGAGAATCACTTCGCTCTGCCACCACCAGCCCTTGTCCCTTTTAGACAGTTATGTTTCAAATTAAACACAACCTCTTGCTACTTGCTTTACCCTGCTTTTCTAAACCCTGTTCTCCTAAATGGTTAAGTTTCTACTCAGAATAATATAGAGCAGAGTTTGAACATCATGAAGGGTGAAACATTGTAGCTTAAGTGGTCTCAAATCACAGACACTGTATATGACAAAGCCTTGTGCAAGGATTTCAAATCCTTTGTATTAAAATAAACTTACCTTTTAGGTCCACTTTCCTGTGACCTTTATGACGGATACCTGCACACATAGGAAAGGCACCTAAACCTCCTGACCCCGCCCACTGCTCACTAGACTGCTCCCCCCCTCCTGGAAGCAGTTTTTCCCTCAAAATCAAACCTCTGAAAGAGCACATCATGTCACTAACTTCCCATCATCTTCTAACCTTAAACTCCAAACTATATTAATTGCAAAAATTCTAGTGGCTTTTTCTAAAGTGTTTAACCTGTGATGACACTCCTGGCATCAAGCAAAACTCTTTCATGTGCAAGCACGTTGGGGAAATCTACACAAACCCCAGCTCTGTCATCAATTAGCAAATACCAGTTCCCTCGTCCATGACTGAGTTTCTTGAAAGTTGTGGGGATACACAAAACGTCTGACAGGCCATAAATTTTCCATCCTCCCACCCCGACTCAATTTTCTATCAGGTACATTCCAGTAATCTGTGGATGTCTTCTTTCTCTTGGCTACTTCCAAGTTTTATTCCTATGTGTTTAACAGCTTGTCAAAACTTTCCTCCTGCCTACCTGCCACACAACTCAAACTTAACCTGTTCAAAAATCAAATACAGGGTTGGTGGCCTCCCATGGTATGTGCAGACTCCTGAAACACTGGCATCCCAAATGCTGCCAGTTAAAGACTCAGTTTGTTCACCTCTTGATTTTATTGGAAAGTCAAATATACAGAGAGGAGAGACAGGAAGATCTTCCATCCATTGATTCACTCCCCAAGAGGCTGCAACAGCTGGAGCTGTGCTGATCCAAAGCCAGGAGACAGGAGCTTCTTTCAGGTGTCCCACACAAGTGCAGGGTCCCAAAGCCTTGGCCTGTCCTCAACTGCTTTCCCAGGCCACAAGCAAGGAGCTGGATGGGAAGCAAGGCCGACGGGATTAGAACAAGTGCCCATAGGGGATGCTGGTGTTTGCAAAGCGAGGACTTTAGCTGCTAGGCTACCGTGCCGGACCCAATTTGTTCACTTCCGATCCAGCTCCCTGCTAAGGTACCTGGGAAGCAGTAGACTGGCCCAAGCACTCATACAGGACACGTGGAAGAAGCTCCAGACTCCTTGAGTCCATATGGACAGCGAACCAGCGGCCAGAAGATTTCCCCTCCTGTCTCTTCCTCCCTCTGTAACCTGGCCTTTCAAATAAAAATTAAAAAGCCTTTAAAAGAACTCACACACATATTTTCTCCTCCATCAAATACACTCTTGAAAACTGATTTGTGTTAATGGTGTTTCCTTGTGAGCTTCTGGGGAGTGAGCAGGCTGACAGGAAGCTGACCGTATGCTACCTCTCCCTGTCCCTGGGATGCAGTCTAAATGAAAGAAACCGTGGGGCTGTTGTTGGGCTACAGCGAGTCAGGCTGCTACTGCAGGTTTGTCCCAGCTGCTTCACTTTTCATCCAGCTCCCTGCGAAAGCAACACAGGATGGCTCAAGTGTTTAAACCCATGCAACCTGTGGGAGACAGACAAGTCCCAGGCTCCGGGTTCTGGCCAATTGGGAAGTTACCCAGTGGATACCTGTCTCTAACTACCTTTCAAACAAAACAAAACAAAGCAAAATTACATCTCCTAAAAGCATTCATGATATGATCCATTCTTTTGCCCATGGCCCATTCTAAGGGCCCAGAGGAAGCTGCCCTATCATGTATTCCAGTTTTCTGCCTAACTTCAGTCCTCTCAGGCACCTTGGTGAGACAGCGGCAGCACCACAGCTCTCGGCACACGCTGTGCAGCTGAGCAGGCACTGGAAAACCTGTCAAATGAAGATGATGTGGGAGATTTGAGGTTTCAGGAAACTAATCAATAGTATTTGACGAATAGGCAGGAAAAAAGCACTACAAAGCCCAACAGGTGCAAAGCTTAGATTGTTCCAAAGGATTTAGCAGAAGTGGTGCAGTGGCTACATACATCCAACATAACAGCAGCAGCAGTTCATGAAGACTAAGAATAGAAATGAAAACTACTTAAAGAGAAAAAAAACTGATAAAATGTTAATTTTGGGCATTTAAAGGAAAAATTAAATTTTTTTTTCATAAGGAGCAAATAACATTCCTAATTTTAGACTTTCAAAGTAAAAACTACTGACTTTTTCAAAATTAATATAAGATGCTTAGTTCATTGTGCTTCCAACTTCAAAAATATCTCAACCAGAACTAAATAATTCTGGTCTTAAAGGATACACTTAAAAGCCACTTCACTCATTGAAAACATTGAATCGTTTCTGGCCTTGTGAGAAAACTATGTTTGAAATCATTTAACCTCCTGTATCATTTGCATAACTCATTCATTCAAGCATTTGCCATGCTACCTGCTTGGGGGGGCAGAGGGGAGGCTGCAGGTTGGCAAAGACTCCCTGCCCTCAGGAAGCCAACATCCCAGGAAAGCTTACCTTCAGAAAGCAAACTCAACTCTCAACCCCTGAGATATTATCCCCAAATCCCTGGCGGTCACAAATCCCAAGAGCTGTCCCACCTGTGAGCGCTGAGACACCTCCCCCAGTTCCCTGGACGTTCAAGAGGCTGGGTCCGAGTGTAGCGTGTACGGCAACAAACCTTCTCCAAGGTTCTCCAGCTAGGGTCCCTACCTACCCACTGCAAAGCGACGGGGAAAACCACGGCAACTTCACTTTCGCCAGCGGAACTGCATCTCCCCGAGGGATGCAGCAGCAAGTTTTCAGTGCTGCCGGAAGCTTCTCCAACTACTCCACCCCATCTCCCCCAAGGCTGCCTTATCTTCTGTACTTCTAGGAGGAACATAATCCATCCCACCCCGTGACAACAGTTTCAGCAAACGCGTTTTCAATCATCAAACCCCCTCCTCCCAAATCAACTCGAGATAAAAAGGTCGGAGCCCTCCCCCTTGCCCCCACCTCCAGAAGTGGCACCTGGGACGAATCGGGATACAACCAGGGAATTTGAAAGGGCAGGCAGCTTTGTTCCCGGTTTGGGGAGGTTTTTCACATGTAAATGATCCCTTAGGAAGGGGGGTTGAGGATTAACTGCCACGGGCGAGGGTGGGGAAGCGAAGGCCCACGCCGGCTCGCCCGCGCGCTTGAGGAAGAGCCATCACTGCTCCTCTCCCGTTCAACTTTTTCCAAAGTGTCACGTTGGGGCCAAAGAGCCTCCTCCAGGAGGGCTAGGCTCCCGGACTCAGGAACGGTCAGGCGGCCACCCCATTTCCCAAGCGCACGTCGCACACCAGACGCGGGCCGGGATCAGAGTCCAGCGGCGCGGATCGGGGCAACAGGAGAGCCCCCGACCGCCGCTCCGCCGGCCCGGCCACCGGCAGATGCTCCCGCTTCCCCGCCCCCAACCCCACACGCCCGCCGGCCCGCGCTCCAACCCCGGGGCCGGCTCCCGGGAGCCAGGAGCGCGCCGGGAACCCCCCCCACACACACCGGGCGCAAGTTACGAAAGCCGAGGCCGGCCGACGGAGCGGGAGCGGTCCCGGAGGTGGGGGTCGCCGTGGCCCCGGTCCCCGGGGGTGGGGGATGGGGTGCGGGGGTCAGTTCCACCCCCCCCCACACTCAACGCCGCCGTGGTCGCCTCGACCTCAGCCGGGCCACCAAGGCCGGCTCCGCGCAGGCCCCGACGCCCCGGAACCGGGGCAACAGGAAGCGTTGCCCCCGGACACAGCAGCCACCCCAACCCCGCAGCCAAGCCCCAAAACCCTGCAGGGCGGGAGAAGCGGGCCCCGGTTCTCGTTCCGCCGCCGCAGGCCCCGAGCCCCGCTCACCTCCTGGTTGAAGGCGTTGACGGCGTCCATGTTCGCGCTGCGGCGGCAGACGGCGGTGGCGGCTGCTCCGGGCCCCCGCCGGTCACATAGACCTCGCGCCGCGGCGGAGCGGGGCCGGGACGCCGGCCGGGCCTAAGGGGCTTGGGGCGGCGAGGCGACGAGCGGCGCGGCGAAGCCCGAGGCTGAGCAGGCAGAGGCTGCGGCCGAGGCGGACGGTCCCGGGGCCTCCACTCAGTCCCGTTCGCTGGCGGCGGCGGCGGCGGCGCTGAGCTCCAACATGTCCGTTTGGTGGCGGCGGCTGCGCCCTGCGTCTCGCTGACACGGCCCCCCGCGCCCTCACGCACTGGCCCGGCCGGCGAGCGGGCGGGCCTCTCTCTGCCTCTCGCCAGCGGGATGGCGGCAGCGGCCCGAGTGCACGCCGCGCGGGGCACCCTGGGACGGCTCGGGCCTCCCGGCGCTTCCTGCGCCCGGCGGCCGCCCCGCCCGCGCCGAGGCCCCGCCTGGCTCCGCCCTGCCGCGGCCGCGTGACGCCGACAGGCCGTGAGGCCGTGAGGCCGGGCCGGTTCCCGCCGGCGGCGCCCGCGGCCCGGGAAGGCCGCTCGGGGAGACCCGAGTTCGAGCTCCGACGCTGCCCTGAGGCGTAGCTGTTACGGCCGCGCCGTGCCGCGTGCCGCGTGCCCGTCGGACGCGTTCCACCCAGGCCGGGCGAGAGCCGCTCGGCGCCCCCGGCGGCCCGGAACAAAAGGCGCCCGGCAGGAACTTCACCTCGGCCCGCCTGAAGAGCGCAGTCCCAGCGCTGAGTCCCAGCCCCGTGGCGTCTGCTCGCTCGCGCTCTCTGCTGCGATGGTTCATGGTGCCCACGTGGAGACGCCGACCCGGGGACGCGCTGGCTCTGGGTTCATCCACGCAGGTCCTGACGGGGACCCTCGGGGCAGACTCGGGAGCGTGGAGGCTTGGTGAAATCGTCGCGTTGATTCCTTCCCTCTTGGCAAAGAAACCCAAGTTGCTTGCTTTCTGGTCATAAACACTGCCCTGATTCCCCCTCCTTGAGTTCCTGCTATCTGTCGGGCGCTGTGCCAGGTGTTGGAGTTGTAGAGGGGTCCTTGCCGGTCTCGGAGCCTGGCTAACAGCCCTAGGGAGCAAAGCGGAAAAGTGCTTTTCCAGCTGTAAGTCTAGAGGGGCTTCCCGGAGGAGATAGCGCGACCCTCAGCTACATCTGGAGGAAGAGGAAGAACGAGAAGACCTCCTCCCAGCCTGGGTGGGGGATTGAGACAGTGGCCATGAGGCAAAACACGCTCAGGAATATTGCCTTTCGCCAGGGTTTGGAATTCCCCAGGGCAGTGGGGGAGTCACAGTGTCCCCTTGGAAAGAATGGTCCAGCGAAGTGAGAGTGAGGTTAGAGGGGACAGTGACCCTGGACCACTGGAATTGCAGGAGGATGAACACAGACAGGAAGTGGAATGGAAAGACCCCGGTAGAAGAATTGAGGTTAAGGAAAAGCATCAAGCAGAATGGCCTGGCTGGTTGGGTTTATGAGGTAAATTCAGGAACTGATGGAGCAGCAGGAGTGGGTTTGAGGGAAAGCTGAGTAATGATTCTGACTTATAGACCACTTACCCCTGTGCCAGGGCCTACCCCCTGATGTGCTGTTGCTCCGTATTTTATTTGATCTCTGCAAGCAGGCTTCTGGGTGAGGCAGCCATTAGTACCGCCCTCATTTTATGGTAGAGAGAGTGACACCCCAGCTGGACTCAGTGAACGGACGTGCCCAAAACCACACAGCTTGGTGATTTTCCACGTGAGCTGCCCCAGCACCCAGCCGCAAGGATGTCCAGGAGGCGGTTGAGTAAACAGGTGTGGAGCGAGGGGGTAGGACTGAAATCGGAGTCACTGGTGCGCAGCTCGCTCAGGAAGGCTGGTGTGGAAGGGATGCAGAAGGACCTGGAAAAAGCACAGCAGAGTGGGCATGGGGCAGTGCCAGGTGGGTTTAGCCTCCTGGAGCTCATCCTGCACTGTGCTAGAGTGGCAACCCGAGGGGCAGAGGCTGACACAGCGCACACTGCAGAGGACACGAGCAGGTGGGAGACATGGCACAGAAACGGCTGTGAGGGCAGCTTGAAGAGAAAATTGGCTTGTTTTTAAAGAAACAGACCCAGGTTTTTGTGTTCAAATCCACTTTATGTCTCTTCATTATTCTCATCTTTCTTTCCAGTGAGCTGTCGTGATGTTTTCCAAGTCTGTTTTGTCATCCACAAGCACTACCCATATTGCAGTAGAGAATGCAGCTGGCCTAGCGGTTAAGACCGTAATTAAGACGCCTACCTCCTGGAGTGGAGTGCCTGGATGTGATACCCAGCTCCAGCTCCCTGCTCACCCAGACCCTGGAAAGAACATGGTGATAGGAAATTTGGATGGAGTTCCTGACTCCATTTTGGCTCTAGCCAGGAGCCAGTGGGGGCAGCTGGGGAGTGAACTGTCAGATGGGAACATGCGCTCTGTCCCATTTCCCTCAGATAAATAACAAAAAAAGGAGAACATAGACAGGAGGAGGTTTTTGTCATCCTAGCATGTGGCCTTTCTTGAACAATCTTTTTTTCTTCCCCCCAGGTACAGTCCAAGACACCTGCAACATGTTTCCAGCCTACTGCCTGGCACAGTCCAAGTTGTATCATCTGCTGGATCTGTCTGGAAATTGACACAGTTGGGCCATTGTTCTCAAGGAAGACCCTCCCCCACTTCTCCATGTACACAGGCATGATTTGCAGCTAGTTGCTGTTCAGACATCTCTTTGTAGCATTCATTCATCACACCCTGCTACCTTTTCATCTTCCAGGTATAGCTACCTTGTGTCGGGTTCCCACTATATGTGTTGCCATGATGCACAGTGGCACTTCTTACCTTGTGTCTTGTATTGCTGTTATCTAAAAAAGAAAAAAAAAAAGCGTTGCAGCATTTTCACACTATGTATTCCTACCTGCCCCTACCCTCCTCCTGTGAACTGTGGTGGATCTTGAAAATGAACCCACAAAACCAATTCATACAATCAATTCTTATAAGTTGTCGCTGTCCCGCAGCAACGGACTTGGTGCACGGAGCCGATAATAACACGCGTGGACCCTGACTGATGGTCAAAGCCGAAGTTTATTAGGGGCATCAGACCTTATACACTGAGAGTTCGTACTGTTTTCCCTCTCTTGATTGGAATTCCTTTTGTTTTGTATATCCCACCAGGTGTTCTCATTTACATGCTGTTTATACCAAAGGTAGCCATTAGGTTGTTGTCATGCAAATACTGTCCAATGAACTTCAAACCTGTGCTCGCTGACCTTCCAGGCTCACAATGTCCTCCTACAATAAGTAGTGTTCTTTCTTGTGTGTCAGGGGATGGATTTGGCTTAGGACCAAGATGAAGTCTTGAATTGAGGTAGGAAATGGACTTCTGGGAAGGTCGTGAGTCCAGTGTTGGATGTGTTGCGTTTGAGACAGTGTACCATGGCCTTATAGCTGTTGAGCTCCATAATGGCTGCTGAATGAGAAATGATGGTCTCCAAGGGATCCATTGCTGGTGATTAGCTGGTAGAGGGCTGAATGCACAAAGATCAAGATGTGGCTTCTAAGATCCAAGTGTTGAAGGTTGATAACCTAGATGTAGGAGGTTCTTTTTGGATTTTCTGGTGATAGTGTTGAGAAAGTCTTTTTACAAGTAATTGGAGAATATGTGTTATCAGCTAGACTTTGGGCACCTGGGCAGCTTTCGCTAGCATTTTTCCCTGCTGGAAACAGCAGTGCTCCTATCTGCTTTGGGACAGCGGGCAACCTTTTGCTTAGCTGCTGCTGGGCTCCCACCTCTATCTTTCCAGGCAGATGAGTCAGGCCTTCCTATGGGAAATGGTCAGCAAATGAACCAGCTTGTGAAAACTGTCCTTCGCGGGCAGACCTTGAACCAGTAGGGATGCAGCCTATTGCATTGGCGGCTAGAGGCTCACAAATGGATGTGACAGAATAAAAATCAGCAAGACATTTGTTCACGTGCAAGCTTGTCTTCTACAGAACTGAAACAGATTCATTTGCTCATGATGTGGATGTGAAAATAGCACGAAAGAGCTATTCTAAGCAAACTCAGTGTTTCAAAGAAGAGTTGATCAACTCCATACTCAGAGGCTGGGAAATATGGCTTTTAGGAAATAAAATTCTGGAATATTCTGTGCCGTTTGCTTGTCATCAACCTTTTCTTGAAAGGAACTGTCTACAGAGTACAGGTCTAGAGAACAGGTGGAAAGAAAGCATGTATATATCAGAACCCAGAAGAAAAGAAGTTCTTCCTGTTACTCATTGCCATATCCTTCTGGAGTAAATATAAATGGAGTAAGTGAAAGCTGATACATGAGACATCTTTCTACCTGGTCCATTTTTTCTCCTCTCTCCGTTGCTCACCTCATTGTCTCCTGTCCCTACCCACTTAGGGATCTCAACTCTGTCTTGGTTTGAAACTGTTTCCAGCTGCCCACTGAAAAATTCCACATATGTCCTCTCTATCCCCAGGTGCCTGCCTCCCTCCTTTTCCTGCCCATTGATGTCCAAGGAGGAGAACTAGTGAGGGGCAGAAATGCCAAGAGAGACAACCTCAGTGGCAGTTGAGTGATGGGCTCTTAGAGGATTTTCATTTTCTTCTTAAATTTCCAGCACTTTCCAGACTCCCTATAGAAGACATATGACTTGTATAGCCAAAGTAGCTTCCTTTTTTAAAAAAATTTTATACTTTCTGTAGCTTCTTTTAAAAAAGAAATTTTAGCAAGTGTGCAGCAAACCTAAGATGTTCTAGATTAATAATTGTGATTATGAGTACACCAGTAAGAGTACATAAACAATAAAGGAAAGTGGTTTATCTTGACCATTTCCTTTCTTCCCTAAGAATAGAAATTGGGGGCCCAGCACAAGGGCTCAATTTGCTAATCCCTCCGCCTTCAAGTGCCGAGATCCCACATGGGCGCTGGTTCTTGTCCCAGTGGCCCCACTTCCCATCCAGCTCCCTGCTTGTGGCCTGGGAAAGCAGTGGAGGATGGCCCAAAGCCTTGGGGCCCTGCATGCATATGGGAGACGCAAAGGAAGCTCCGGGCTCTTGGCTTTGGATTGACTTAACCCTGGCCATTGCAGCCACTTGGGGAGTGAACCAGCAAATGGAAAATCTTTCTTTCTTTCTCTCTGTGGATCTATGTTTCCAATAAGAATAAATAAATCTTTAAAAAAATAGAAATTTGAAGGAATAAATAAATCTTTAAAAATATATAAATTTTGGGCCCGGCGGCGTGGCCTAGCAGCTAAAGTCCTTGCCTTGAATGCCGGGATCCCATATGGGCGCTGGTTCTTGTCC